GGTGGACACGAGAGGTACAACTGGCAGTTAAAGAGAAAAAAGCAGCGTTCAAGAAATGGCTTGGAAAGAAACAGTCTTCTACTGGCGTGCGATACGTCGAACCACGCAAGGCAGCAGCAAAAGCAGTGGCGAAAGCCAAAGTTGATTCCTGAGAGAAGTTCGGTGAGGTGTTGGAGTCGAATTTCCACGCAGCAAACAAGGTACTCTGGCAGGCCGTTCGCCGGCTCCGAGATGAGTAGCAGGTCAGTGGCAGCGTTTTGAATCACAGGACTGGAACCCTCTTACCGAGGATGAGGACATACTTCGGAGATGAACAGAGTACTTCGAGGAACTCTTTAACCCTGAGCAACCGCAGGAAGACTTGCATGTAGAGCGGCAGGGAACGGATATTACTACCTCTGTAGACAAAATTACACAAGCTGCGAATAGCTTGAAAAATAGAAAGGCTGCTGTAGTTAATCAAATCCGCCCTGAAATGCTCATGGCATTAGGCGAACAAGGCATGTGCTGGCTTGTGTCTGTCAAACTGGCATGACAACGGGAAAGACAGCAGCGGACTGGAGAACAAGAGATGTTGTACCCGTATGCAAGGGAGACCAGAAAAAGTGCTTTAATTATAGGGTCATTACGTTAGTGAGCCTCCCAAGTGAGGTCTACGCGAAGGTGCTAGAAAGGAAGTGCCGCGGAGTAACTGACTTCAAGATACAAGAAGTGCAGTGTGGCTTCCAGCCCGGTCGAACCACCTCTGATCGTATATTTGTCCTGCGCCAGATTGTTGACAAATGGTGGGGTACGCCTCTCAGTGTACCTGTGTTTTGTTGACGGAAAAACCCTATGACCGAAGAGTCTGTGGTCATGCTTGGGAGCATACGGGATAGATGGTCAGCTGGTAATCACTGTATTCTGATAGTAGGTGCTGCGTCAGAGTAGATGGCGTTAAGTCGAAGCCTTTTTCGTCCTGTTCCCGAACCTGTTTGTGTTGTACATGGACAGAATAATCAGGAGCAGCGAAGGTGAATGTATCGGTGTAGATGTGACGACGAGAAAGTTGCTGTTTGCAGATGGCCTTGTTTTATTTGTATCTTCTGAAAGTGACCTATAGTGCTCCCTAGAAAGGTTCGCAGCCGAGTGGACGTGACGGGCGTGCATGTGATCGCATCTGAAATGAAAAGCCTAGTGCTCTCTCGTTCTCCCTCCCGTTTGCTATGTTAAGATTAACGGAGAGGCAGTAGAGCAGGTGGGGAAGTTCAGGAACCTCAGAGTCGTAGTGACTACTGATGGAAAATTTGAGGAAGAGATCCACGGGCGAATTGGAGTAGCCAGTGGCGTTCTGGGTGAAACAGCTCGATCCTTTGTGAGTAAAGCAGAACTCAGAGTGAAATCTAAGCTGTCGATGGTCAAGATCTTTATCCGCATGCTTATCGAAGGTCATAAGTCGTCGACGATGATCGATCACATCATAGGTAAGTGAGCAATATAAGTCTTTGAGTAGCGAGCAGTGTAAGAATTAAATGACTGACTCTGCAATTGAATCTGTCATATATGAGAGTTGAATTTCGTGATCTTAACCCGTTTAATGTATGGAAAGGGAAACAAATGTGTAAATGCCTAACTGTCAAAGTTAGACAAACGCTGTTAAGCTCATATTAGCAAATGTTTCTATCCATATCTTGTGTTAGATTGGCTCAATTTTAACAAAATAGAAGCCTGCATAGAACTTAAAGCGCATAAGCAGGTTTGAGAACAGATTTCTGAACTTTGTTCATAACGTAAATGTAAATTCAGCTGGTTTCCGTTGTGAACGCTAAGCGCTGTACTTATAACAGTAAACAAAGTTTGATGCTAACAAACTGCCTGCAATTAACTATGTACTATGTATGATGAAACTTACAACGAAAGTTTATATCTTTTGCTCCTAATCTCTAATCCTTTCGGCAATCCTGCCATTTCGATTGCCATAAGAATCTTATGCAGCTGCAACTATCCCCTCCCCTCGCTCAACCTTAGACATTTTTTGCCAGAATGGCTTGAGCAAGACTACTACAGACACCGGTTATAAGAATGATAGTAGCAAAAAAGCTTAATCTAGTATACTATACAAAGAATAACATAAATATATAACAGAGAGGCTGAATTTTGTCATGAAGTAGACTGCAGCAGGCACAATAATGACGCAAAGTAAGGCATAAGCACTTATCGCCTGTGTTTTTTCTGACGTTAAATGTAACCACCTTGGGTGATGATAAACCTTATTGATGAACTGCGGCGATGAACCTTATTTGTAGCTGACCTGAGGCAGATATTAAGTCTTCGGTGGTTAAGTTCTTACCTGTTCGTAATTCATAACAATTCCAGCTTATAGGATATGCATTATTATTCTGGACCATATCAATACAACTGGAAAAATGTAACGAAAATCATGGTCATTACAGCGAAAATAAGCGATGTTTCTCAGCGAATTATTACAAAGGTGCATGAGTGCAGTGAAGCACCCTCTCATTTATTCACTAAATAGGTACGATATAACGTTTCATCATGAACGAAGTAACGTAAAGGTTTACCCAAATGGCAATGTACCTGCCATCGTTTCCATCTGGAAGCATAAGAAAGGCGCTTGTAGTTGGGAACACAGATCATTTCCAGGAAGTCTACTGTCGGCAGCACCAATTTTATGGAGCTTATTGCTGTTGTCATCTCTGTTAGGACGCCGTTAGCTAGACAGTTACTGCTTTACTAATGAATCACTATCTGGTGCTAACGTTACTCAAAGCATACAGCTTCGCTCTTTCCTTTTCTTACGACATAACTTGTTTATCCATACTGGAAGACGAGGGTACCGTAGTTAGCAAGAACTTCAGTCAACGTCCTTTGTATCGCGAG